TTTAAAGCAAAATAATAACTTCACTGTTTGACACTAGACTGACAAACTGACAGCTCGCTCCCATACAAAGCGACACCGAGGGGCGCTAATTAGGTGATTTTTGCAAATGTAATCGTACTTATTTAAAATAGTTCCAGTGTGCCATAATTGATGAAATTTTGGGATTGGGTTCCATTTTTAATGCAGATTACGAATATGCATTTACCTCAATACCCTTAAAGAACCCAATTCAAGCTGATGTATGAAATAATGATGTAATAGCAAAAAGCAGATATAATATTACATCAATGCAAGAGCAAATTTTCATTATGTCGTAAGTAACATACGCACCAATCCGAGAAAAATAAAGTTTTGTTTTGATGACCGAAAAGTTATTCCTATTTCCAAGTAAACACATATAATCTCATAGTGATAGTAATGTTTAACATATTTAGCAGGGTTTTAATCATACAAATGCAAATCGCTAGCTTTCATGCTAAAAATACTGGTTTTTGAGTCAAAAGTTATTATACGTCGTTTGGTGGCCCCTATTGTTACTTAAGTCAAAGTGTATTTACAAGGATATTCGGGAGAATTATCAATTACGTCTCCTTACGTGCAGCCCATTCATCATTTTAGGACTACCGAAATCATCTTAGCAACAAACAGTTCGATTTATTCACTTTAATAATGAGAAAGCGAAACGACGAACGTACACTTTTCACGGGTTTCTCAGCGCTGTTACTTAAGTCAAACGGCATCTCCATAGAAATTGGGTGACTTAAGTAACATCGAAAACTATTTTGATCGGAAGGTGATTACGTCAAAAAGCAATTTGACTGGCAAATAAATTTTAAAATGTTATTTGATCCTATATTCGGACAGTATATAGTGTAATAGCAGGAGAATCGATTGACACTGATAGCTCGACCACAGACAAACAGACATAACACATTGAATATTTCTCACTGTAAAACATCGTCGCTAAAACATTACCGCCATCTGTTGAGTACACTGTGGTGGGTAGTACGCTGAACAGATGGCAGTAGTGTATAAACGTCAAAAGCAAGGTAACTGAATATGCGCGCCACAGGTGGCGGTACTACCAACTACGATACTTTTAAATTGACCGTTAAATGCTTGTTCGATGAACAACTTGCGAGTGTTATGTCTGTTTGTCTGTGGCTCGACTTTGTTTACCTTTGTTACATTCGACGTAATGAAAATTTGCTCTTGAATGGATGTAATTTTATTCGCAAAATCGATGTACATCGTACAACGTTATATAACACAACCGATGGATTGACCAGGATTGACCTCTGTGCAGCTGTTTGGATGTAATATTCAACAACTTTTTTTTCTGTGTAATTACACAGCAAAAAAAATGTAATATCGATCAACGTAATTCAAGCTGATGTATGAAATAATGATGTAATAGCAAAAAGCAGATACAATTGATGTAATAGATGTAATTTTATTCGCAAAATCGATGTACATCGTACAATGTGATAGGGGAATTTACGTATTCTCGGCAACCTAAGCAGCGACCTTCTTTCTATAGCCTTTTTCTCTATGGAACGCACACATATGCAGTATTGGTTTGTTTACAATCTTTTGCTGCCAGCTGCTCTAACAATTTCAGTCAAAAGAATTGTCAAAAACTGTTTTGGAACGCTTTTACAAAGCTCCAATCTTCTCTAGTGAGAGCGAGTATTGTCGGCAACCAGTTTTTCTTCGGCAACCGTTCCATTTGAACTGCATGTAAATCTGCTGTTCTATTATCGGCAACTCGAAATCAGCTACAATTTGTAGTGCGTGTGTTTCATTTCAAGAAAACCCTGCTAGATTGCTTTTTCTCAGTGGTAAAAATATAGTCAAATTGAAGCTGAAAGCATAAAGAATCGTTTGCATGCATTCAGTGAAGTGATTTCGTAAGAAAATCCAGTGCAAATAGTGTTTCAATTTGGGTTGCCGAAAATAGTCTGTCATGCCGAAGCCGTCATTTCCCCTATTACACAACCGATGGATTGACCTGGTTGCAGCAGTTTCGATGTAATATCCAACAACTTTTTTTGCTTTGTAAAGCAGTAGTTAATGGAATTAATTTAATTACAGCCGTTGCCTGCGTGGAAGTCAAAGGTTATTGCGTGCCCCTAAGTCTAACCTGAAAAATGTATAAAATCTGTAATATCGAGTATGACATCGATTTGCTATGTATTTTCTTCGGATATTCACTAACACGCTCTCACATATCTTTTTTTTTTTATCTTTATTAAGGAGACTTTCAGCCGTTGGCTGGCTCGTCTCCGAGCTCTCTCACATATCGCACCAATACAACCGGACGTGAAAATCTCTTTTAAAAAACCCAATTGGGTTGTTTGACTTCGAAAAATATACCCATTTTTATACATCATCTGAAAGAGTCTCGTTTTCTGAGCACAACAATATTTTTATCGCTCCCGTAGACATTAATCTCGATTTTTAAATCAAGATTTAAATTTTTGATCGTTGATACTAAACCTATTCGTTTGACAGCTCGCTCCCATGCAAAGTTCCACCAAGGGGTGCTAAGATGGTGATTTTTGCTAATGTAATCGTACTGTTTAAAAATAGTTCCAGTGTACCAAAATTGATGAAATTTTGGATTTCGGTTCCATTTTTAATGCAGATAAAGAATATGTCGATAGTAAGCATGCATAAGGGCGTATACGCGATGATCAATTCTCTTCGTCGATTTTCTCTTTTGTTAATAACTCGCTAGATTTAACGTTTCTCGCTGCGTTTGCTTTTGCTTTTGATAGACAATACAACCTGTTACTACTCTGCATTGAACAAATTCTAGAAAAAATTTTCACTTAGCTGTAGCAATGCAAAGAGAAAATCGATGAAGAGAATCGATCATCGCGTATTCGCCCTTATGCATGCTCACTGTCGATGTATTTACCTCAATACCCTTAAACAACCCAATTCTAGATGAACATTTCAAATGGTCCTATCTTCTTTGATCGATTCTCTCCATCGACTTTCTCTTTTTTATAACCACTGCAATGCAAACAGATTTTGTGTTATTTTCACCACATAGTTTGATAAAGGAGGTGCTTATCGACCGTCCAAAACAACTAATACAACAGGCAAAGGTTTTGCAGCTGAGTTATTAACGAAAGAGAAAGTCAATGAAGAGAATCGAAACCAACACCATCATCGTGTAGGTAGAAGTTTTCCCTATCCGATGATGGTGTTGGTTTGCGTGGGTGGCCTTCGCTTTGTGAGTAAAGGGCTTTAGAACGGTTTGTTTATAAATGCTGATGGGCCCTTTTCTATTGTTGATCCAGAAATGCAATACTAATCTCGTTATTATTATTATTATTTATCTTTATTAGGGAGGCTTTCAGCCTTGGGCTGGTTCGCCTCCATACTAATCTCGTTGTTGTACCCCTCGATTTTCGCTCAATCGATCAAACCGGCATTTCCGTTCGTTTATGATTTTTCGCAGCCCTGAGTCACAGCGCTGCCATTTATACAGATTTATCTGTATTATACAGATTTTTTAATCTTAATACAGACCCGATACAGAATACAGATATATCACAGATTTTTAAATTACAATACAGATTTATACAGATTTTTATAAAATGCTTGAGAAAAACAAAAAATTCAAAATTTATAAAAACAAAATAACTTGCTCGATTTTATCAGCGTACCCCCTTCTTTCCAAAATTAATTGTTGTGCTAAAAACCATATTTTTTGCAGTGGGATCTGCTCGAGGCGTTGCTGTTTCTTTTATGCTTCTCTAACTCCCTCCAACGGAAAACGCAGTCACGCCCGTCACGGTAGTTTCGTTGTAATACTTAGCTCTCATTTTTGTTCTGTTAGCCATCAACTCCATCAAAATTAAATCAATTTGAGTTATCAGGAATAATGAAAACAACATAATTCTTGTTTTCATTTTGTTCTCACCCTCTGCTCGGGAACCTATCAAATTTCCATCGACAATTAATCATGTTATGGTGTATTTGACAGCATTCACAACCAGAGGATCAACCGAGGGGGGTGACACATCTAAATCTCAATTTTAGACGATCAAAAAATCTCACACTACCGAATCATTCTTCGAAAAATCTTCTTGCATTTCTCGCATCTACTTGCATCGCGCATCATCTTTTTGCAGGAAATCTTCAGAATCGTCATCAATCGTCTTTCTATCTACTCAGCGTGTGAGCAGCTAGCCACAGCAAAACACAATCTTTCCTGCAGCGTAGATAGAGTCGTCCCCCTCGGGACCAACCGCTTTCGGATGCATATGGAGCTGGTAGTAAACGATTTGAGATTGTATGGGGATTTACAGTATTAATTGAATATTTCCAATATAAGCATGTATGTTAAATACAAGAAAAGTGCCCGAGCACATTAAAATGGTACAAATACAAGTACTCGTAAACATTTTACTTGCATTGAAAATGTATTTCGTAAGAAATTGCGGATTTTCTGATATTCTCCATACTGCAAAAATGATTTTACCAGCACTGGTGGGGCGACATCTCTCGACTTTTCGGTGTAACTACCACACAAATGATGTAATTAATTGTATTCATCTATATTAAAAATATCAAATAGTAATGAACTCGTGCACATTTTTGCATTTAAAACTGTTTATGAGGAAGATAATGAATAGAAACTAAAATCTCCATACATTTTCAAACGGCTTCATATCACTCTTATAAATAAGTACGGACGATATCACAAATGGCGCAATTATATCCCGTATGGTTAGTACGATAGCCCGAATAGGTGGTTAAGCACTTTTTATGGTTATTTTGTATGCACTGTATTTGTAAAACAACAAAACATGATTAATTAAGAAAAAAATCGTCAATACAGAAAATACAGATTTTTTAATAGAGTGAATACAGATTTTTTATAAAACCACCTGGCAGCTCTGCTGAGTCGAATCGATGAACGAACGTCAAGCACTCGACGATTAAATTTAGCTTGTCAATTTTATTTACAAACAACAGTACGAACTGCTCCTATAAAACTAAAAAAATATTTAAATTATTAATCGTTTGATACCAAAAGTTGTGTTTATTTAACAGTGTAGAATAAATTGAGGCATTTATCAATTAACATTTAAAAAATGCCCAAATCAGCGAAACAATCCAAACCCAAGCAAAACCCGACTCAGAAAGCACAAAATGTTATTACAAAACCAAAACAAGCCGTCTCCCCGAAATCGATTGTTTTGGAACAAAACGGGGAAAAGAAAATTCTGAAAAAAATCAAACTCAAAGGACCACCAAAAAACATTTCAAAACTCAAGCAAAAGCCCGAAGGGAAGGATAACAGCAAAAGAAGTACTTTTGTTTGCACTTTCTGTCAATGTACATTCGATAATCAGGAAGCACTTAAGCAACATTTTGTGAAACATGGAACCGGATCTGAATTTGGTAAGATTCCGTCTGGAAGCGGTGAAGGTACCATTGTATTGATCGAGTGTGAATGGTGCCCGGAAACATTCACCAAGCTATCGAAAGCAATCGAACACAAGTACCGGAAGCATAACTATGAAAGTAAGAACTATTTTTGCACCCTCTGTGGTAGACTATTTCCGCTAAAGGTGGCCCTTGAGCAACATCAAAATATGGAGCATAAGGATGATAAGGAAATGAACGTGAGTTTAAACAAAAATCGGAACCGTGCAGGATTTTTAAATATTAACTGCTGTTTGTATTTCAGGTTCCACGTCTGGACTTCATTTGCGGCTTTTGTGGAACTGCTTTCATTTGCCAAGTTGCTCTGGAACTGCACGTAAAAACGGCTCATAATTTAGAAAAGCGTATGATGGCTCATCCGTTCATTCCAAAGCCATCGAAAAAGGTTCGCCTCAACCAGGCAGGTGAAATCATATCAATCTACTATTGCTATCTGTGTGGTTCGGAGTATATGCTGAAGTTCAATCTCCTAAAGCATATCGAAGATCATCATTCGTACGAAGACCGGTGTGCCATGCCGGAGGATATGTTTAAATGTAGTACTTGTGATTCTATGTTCTATACGAAGAAAGCATTCGATGCTCACAATATCCACCACAAGCCGGAAGATTTGTATGTCACCAGCGAAGAGCACCGGTTGAATATAGTTGCTCGAGTGGATCAAGATTTCGACTTCCAACGAGTACCGACAGCGTTGGATAAAGCCTTGGGATCAATTGGAACTGGGTCGGACTCTGCGGTTACTCTTGCCAAAAAGCATAGGAAAAAGATTAAGAGATCCAAGGATAATCCTTCTAGCACTGCCGCTAGCAGTGGTAGCGCTGACGAGAAGGAAGCTCCTGTTATAGATTTATCTGCATTATAAACAAAAATGATGTTCGAGCCGTTAAGTTGGTACAGATGCAACCGAACTTGCCCCAGTTAAGGACAAGGCCATGTACTTCCCCACTTCGTGTTTTCAGAGGCACAAGTCACATACAGAAAATTTAACTTGATGCTGCAGCAAGTTTCGTACAAGTTTGTGATCGAGAAAATGCGTAGTGGTGAAACAAATTGTATGGGAAGCGGCTTCCGTGAACCACGTCCTTAATTTTAACAAAATGGTTGGTGAATGAGGCAGTTAGAGATTCGAACAGTAGTTTTATAAGAAAACGATAATTAGGCAAGAGTCTGAGTAAAAGTAGCAATTCCGGAGAACTTTGAGATTTGGGCGTAGTTGCTTTTGTAAACAAACACGTCAATCACCGATTTCGCGCGAAGAACAAACTATACCAAATGATAGAGGAACCACTCCTCTATCTGTTTGTGTTATTAGTTTTTTAGATTGAGCTTTAATTCGCGAGAAATCGTCAAATGACGTGTTTGTTTATAAAAGCAATTACGCCCTATTCTCGAAGTTCTCCGGAATTAAAACCCGTACGCAAATAAATTAGTAGAAAGTACACATGTAACACATGTTTAATAGAGTTACTGATCCGAATGCTCTTGCGAAAATGAAATTTTGCTGTTTGCTTACTTTCTTCTTCTTCTTTTATCTTAATTTTTTAATTTATCTTAGTTGGTAGTACCTAGAAATACTAGAAGGAGAGATGGGCGGAGAAAACAAAATACAATTCGGCAGCAGGGATTTGTATCTAAATTATCTTGCAACCCTTGCTAAAACTTAGCATTTCGCATGACTTTTACTATTGATTCGATTTACGTGTAAATTAATAATTGATTGCATCGCAATATTTTGCACATTGTTTGGTTCCATTAATTAACCACTAGAATATTGCTTTTAATTCCAAAAACATAGTTGAATTTGAGAAGCACACGAAACATAAAGGTGATTGAATTTCTGTTCGATTACAATACTCTCAAATTTAATCTAGTAAGAATAAGAAATCCTCGGAAAAATTCTAATGGGAAATTAAGCTCGATTGGCTCAGATTTTGACAGTTCATTTGGCTCAAAAAATTCCTTCCGCTTATCTACCCGCATAAACGCGAACCATCACATGACCTTACCGATAATGGTTATAAATTGTTTATAATCCCTGCTAAACTTCAACTGAAATGGTTATGGAACTTTACATGAACGTTTAATGATAAAGTTTTAACCTTAAATATTATAGTTTTTTGGAAGTGGACCTATCAAATAATGGGTTGTTAAGAACCATTACCATTCCAAATTCTTGTTTTCTCCATACATTTTCGGAAAGAGAACTATATTAGAACGTTTTTACTTATGGTTTGAGAACATTAATGGTTATGGTTATGGTAGTCAGTAAGGTCTATTAATGGTTTGTATTATCACTCAACTTTACGTGAAATATATCGTGAATTGGTAATCAGTAATTTACAGGCAACCAATTCGCGATATATTCCACATAAAGTTGATCGATGTTACAAAACCATTCATGGACCTTACTGGTTACCATAACCATTACCATTAATGTTCTCAAACCATAAGTTAAAAGGTTTTAGTATAGTTTTCTTTCCGAAAATGTATGGAGAAAACAAGAATTTGAAATGGTAATGGTTCTTAACAACCCATTATTTGTAAGGTCCACTTCCAAAAAACTATAATACTTAAGGTTAAAACTTTATCATTAAACGTTCATGTAAAGTTCCATAACCATTTCAGTTGAAGTTTAGCAGGGATTATAAACAATTTTAACCATTTTAGGTAAGGTCAATTTATAGTTCGCGCTTATGCGGGTACTTATAAATGGGTAAAATTTTACTCATTTAATGGGTAGTCCCATTTTCCATCGAAAATGCTTACTTTGTAGTCATTATTGGGTATTTTTCGTTTACCTTGTTGCACTGTTTAGCATAAAAAACAGTTTGACATCCACTATTAACTATATTATTTTCAGTTGTGTGGTATAAAATACACACGGTAAGAAAAAAGTACCCAACATTGAGTTCCTTTCACTCAACACGTGGCTTCCGTGGGGCTAGGTAAAATTAAGTTAAAGAAGAAAACTCAATTTTGAGTAATCCTGATCATGAATCCACGTTGACCAAGTTGACAAAAAAATAATAAAACGGAGCAGACTGGAACCGAACCATCGACGTTGAGATTACGGGGCCCGTGTGTTGACCACTCGTTTATCAACGCTTGTGAAAATGAAATGGTTATGTTTGAGTTCATTTATTATTACTCAATAGTTGAGTAAATTTTAACCAACGCCGTTTTTCTGATTCACTCAACGGCGGACCTCAAATGATAGAACCCAACGTTGAGTTTTTTTTTAACTTAATTTTGAGTATTTTTTTCTTGCCGTGCACTATGATCACTATCAGCGCAAAATTCTCCTTTTCATAGCTGCGCCATTTTGGATTTTTGATTTTTTTTTATTAAAATCATTTACCCAGAATCTCGGTAAATTCTACTCATCGGTACCTTACCTTACCAGTCAGACTAATGCCTTGATGTCCTCTGCTGTCCGAAGAAGTCGTCTCCACTCTACTCGATCCATGGCCACACTTCGCCAACCTCGAAGGGTCCGCAAGTCGCCTTCTACTTGGTCGATCCACCTTGCCCGCTGCGCGCCTCTTCTTCTTGTTCCTGTTGGGTCGCTTTCTAGAACCATTTTCGCTGGGTCATCGTGCGGCATTCTTACGACGTGCCCAGCCCACCGTAGTCGTCCAATTTTTGCAATGTGGACGATGGATGGTTCTCCCAGCAGCTGGTGCAATTCGTGGTTCATTCGCCTCCTCCACGTTCCGTCATCCATCTGCACTCCACCGTAGATGGTACGCAACACCTTAGTCTAGGTCTCGTGGCCGTAGAGCACCACCGGTCTAATCAGTGTCTTGTAGACAGTCAACTTCGTGCAGCGGCGAATTTTATTCGACCGGAGCGTCCTCCGGAGTCCAAAGTAGGCACGATTCCCTGCCATAATGCGTCTTTGAATTTCTCTGCTGGTATCATTTTCGGCGTTCACCAGTGAGCCCAAATACACGAACTCATCGACCACCTCGATTTCGTCACCGTCAATCTGAACTCGGGGTGTGAAGCTAACATTGTCTTCCCTAGAACCTCTTCCTTTCATGTATTTTATCTTTGATGCGTTGATGGCAAGTCCAATCCGCCTAGCTTCAGCCTTCAGTCTGATGTACGTTTTCGCCATCGTCCCAAAGTTCCGTGCCATGATGTCAATGTCATCGGCGAAGCCAAGAAACTGGATGGACTTCCTAAAGATCATGCCACTCGTGCCACGATTATAGATTAAATTTTATGCATTTTATGGTTTTTCAAAATTTATACAAATTTATACAAAATTTTCGTCAAAATTATACTAAGTCCGAATAACGGAGTGGAATTCGATCAGTGTTTACTGAAATGACAGGAAAAAGAACATCTGGATTCCCTTCAGAGCTTCGTGCTGGTGAAGAGTTTTTTCCGGCGGATTTCTACTGCGCCTGTGATGTGCTGGGCAGCATCGAAATTGTAAGTATTTTTAAAATAATATTCATATAAAATAAACTAATTAAAAAAGCTTCCTGAGACAATTTTAATTTTTATTTGAAAACAATAATATTTACCATACATAAAATAAAGAAGCGAAAAATACATTCTCTCGAATAAACCGTATCTATGCATTGTAAGTATGTTTCGATTTTATACTATGGCACGCATAAACCATTTTTATACTAAGTTTGAATTCTCTCCCTTTATCCAGCTTTCCATGCTCGGTAATGGCGGCCTGTTTGTATGAATAAATGTATCCTTCACTGTGCTTTTTGACACTAACTGGAGGGCGAATGTTGTTCCATTTTCTACTGTTCCTGGGAGAGGGAAAGGGAAGGGGTTGAAATTCGAACATCCAGTTAGTGTCAAAAAGCACAGTGAAGGATACATTTATTCATACAAACAGGCCGCCATTACCGAGCATGGAAAGCTGGATATCGACCTTTGCGTCGGTACGAAGAGTTGCGATTTAGCGTAACTTTTATACTATTTAGATTTCAATATTTTTTGAGTGTACATTCTATCGATCATAAAAATGATGCGATTTGATGCAGATTTTCAAAACTTGTAGTTCAAACAATAAGTAACAGCTTTGCTGAAGACTGCAATATGAATCCGATTAGTTTTATTGAGATATTTGCTTTTGAATATATATGAGCATTTTGTATATGAAAATTTAAACCAAATCTCTTATATGAACATTAAACCAAAAGCGCCATTCCGAGTAATGTCAAAAAGAGTTGAAACATTCAGAGAGTGATTATCTCACATACTGACACGATACACGGGTGTTCTGTGGAAAATTTGAACTTTTATTATTTAAGGGGGTATTCCCGATCTTTTTTTTCAAAAAATCAATTTTTTTTTTCACGTTTTTTGTACTTTAGACTATATACTTTCATCCCCCAAGCCGTTTTCCGATCAGCGAATTCGGTGTTCAGTTTTTCGCGCCTTGAAATAAAAAATGCAGCGCCCGAAAAACGGCTCTCCGCGCGCAACTTTGCGGTCGGGACTGACACTGCTCTGCAGGTATTCCAGACTTACCAATACATTTAGGTGCATGTATGGGCAATAGAGTCAAACGCGTTTTTCTCGAAACCACATTTTTTTATCGGCGAAGATTTTTCTCAGAAACTATAAGAGGTATTGACTTGAATCTTTGCGCATTTTGTTCCTTAATAAATTCTTTGGAGCTTCTCCGACTTTCAGCCAAAAATATTAACATTTAACATTGTTTGAAGCTCCTTAAAGCTGCAAAAAAGCGGGCTAAAAATCGCCTGTTTTTTCATATGGCCGCCATTTTGTTAATTTGCAAGATTTTTTGCTGCCAACGGGAGAAGCTCCAGAGAATCTTATGCAGATTATTAATTTCATCACGAAATCTGTTTCAGATGAAGCCGTTCCAGAGAAAAGTCTTCGCCCGTCCAGGCGTTTGCGGCGAGCAGGGGTCTGTTTGCCGCCATTTTGTGACGTCAATAATGTCTTTTTTTATGTCGAAAAAAATTTATTTGTAAACTTTAATGTTCAATAAACAAGAATCCCAAAGAGTTAGGCGCATTACTATTCATTTTCCTTGAAAAAAAAAATTAATTGAAAAACAGGCCGAAAAAATGCAAAAGATTGGGAATACCCCCTTAAGCAGTAATCTAGTTGATACGTTGCAATATACGATCAAAATGCACATATAAATTCAAGAATGAATATCTCCATAATACGAACTTGAAAATTTTGAGCTCAAAAGAGTGTGCTGAACCAGTTTTATGCACGAAAGAGTGAAGGGATGTTAGTTCTCCATACATTTAAAAAAAAAACCCCATATTAACTTTAAGCCAAAAGCGCTAGCTTGTGTTACATCCGAATGAGCTGAAATTTTTAGAGAGTGGTTTTCTCACCTAATGGCACAAATCTGGGGGTTGGCCCGTTGAAAAAAACGACAAAAAAATCTCTCATTTAACTGTGG